GGCTGCCGCAGAGGAAACTTTCCGCCATCTGTGGCTAAGCTATGTTAAATGCCCAAATCTCTGTGTACCGTCGCAATTTGTCTGTAATCGTTGTTAAATTACATTAAGCCCAGTGCTGTCACTGTTAGACATTGTAGAAAAATGTTCTGCCCCAACTGATTACTTTTCCTGTCAGTCACGCTAAAGAGGAAGCGCTTTATTAGGCCGGAGGAAGTGCAACTCAGCCCCCTGTCCAGGCTTTGCTAACTTTGCTCATTAACTGTGCTAACAGGTTTGAGTCAGGTTGTGAGGGAACGTTCCGTCCCTCTTGAGTCCTATTAGTGTCTTAAAGCCAGCGTCTGAGACAGGCAGCGGACATGAATATGACTTTGCACTTCATCGCGTTATCGCCACCATCTCTTGACCATTAGCTACCTGAGTGAACTGGATGTTTTGCTCAGCAATTATATCACATTGCTGAAGTGAGAAAATCCCACTTACTGCTTTCTTGTGCCTGCAAGTATGGGTGCGAGGCAGAATTTGCGAGAGGTTGCGTGGGCGAGTAATTTTATTCTTTCACACCCTTCAAAGCAGTGGTATTCTATTACATTAACAAGTGGAGAGCAATCATTGGCTGAAAAGAGCGCTTTTTTTGAGTGCGTGTGTGTGTGGTGACATTTCTCTTTGGAGATGAATTTCAATATGGATTTTTTTGTTCCTTTTTTTCCCCGCTAATTAGTTCAAAATTTGCAGTATTTGACAGCGGTTATCTACTGAAGATCAACATCTTTCACTGTGTGTTTTTAATATTTGTTATTGTCTGGGCAAAGCACAAATGCCACACAACGAGTGCAAGAAAAGAACAAGGACACAAAATACCTGACAACTCATCCCAGTGGCCTAGCTGTCCGAGAAGCGACTTGAACTGGGCGATAACCCGATAGACGTTATCTTGTCTTCTCCAGGTCTCTGGGAAGCCTGTGCAACACTCTTCGGTGGTTAGGCATTTCTGCAAACCCCCCAGAGCCCTAACCTTCCCGTCTCTCTCCCCTCAGCCCCCACTGCTCAGACACTGAGGTGGAAGATCTGACAGTAGCCTGTTGCTTATTTATGGTCCTGCATGTTTTATGTCTGTGCGAGATATGACGGCCGTGACACGGTGCTGATTTCAATCAGCCTGCCACTCGGCAGACGGAGTGACAGCAGGCAAAATTGAGAAGTACGAGAGATGGGAGAGAGCGAGAGAGAAATAATCTTCAGAATCGTCATTGTCTTGGTTTGGGCTTTGGCCTTGTCTCCATGCTTGGATTTCTCCAGCCTCTTTTAATGAAAATGTTTCATTCACATCTCAAATGAAGGTGCCTGCTGCCTCTACAGCCGATGAATTCAATAGAGAGGAATAAAAAGCGGAGAGAGGAGCGAATGGGGGGAGATAGAGTACGAGAGAAATGCGCTTTTGTCAGAGTGAGGAGGCTAGAGGAGAAGGTGACCCCTGAGCCAAAGGTGCTGACATTGCATCAATCCCTTTAGGGTAGAGGCCTGCTAGACCAAGCCTCGCTGAAGATTACCTCCAAACATCTGAGGGATGAAGGCTCTATCTATTACGTGCATTCCATACACACACATTCTAGACCCTGAACTGATCTTTAAATTAAGTCTGAGATTGTTGCGTACAACGAGGGGCCCTGACGCAGGCGGGTCTGTTTCAAAGGCTTTAAGGGACAGCTCTGTGTATTCCTGAGATGAAATTAAGAAGCATCTCCTCCCTCCTATTCTCATTATGATAGTAAGTAAATTTATGCCATCCGTAATCACAATGAAGCTCTCTCTTGTCATATGGAGGCTCATACACACTTATCCTGATAAGATTCTCCCACGCGGCTTATACGCAAACACACGGCATGCACTTAAATCTAAAGTTTGTACTTAGAACTTTTAATGCAGGTAAAAAGACCTGGATTTTGTGGTTTGTGTCATTTTAATGATTTTGAACATTGTTTTTCTCAATAAATTAATATTTTGATTTGTAATTCAGTTTATAAAGGAAACTTTCAATCAAGGAAACTTTAAAAATGACTTAAATAGATTTTCATCTATCATCATAGATTTTATATATATATATATATAGTGTGTTTTTTGAAAAATCCTATGTAATGATCCTATTCAATATAATGAACATTTATATATATATATATATATATATATATATATACATATGTAGATATGCAAAAAGTGAACAAATATTATATTATATTATATTATATTATATTATATTATATTATATTATATTATATTATATTATATTATATTATATTATATTATATTATATTAT